CTTTCTTGAAGCATTTCACCGAACTCGTCGCCAACTTCCAAAAGTTGAAACTCAGCGCCGAGGCGTACGTGTGCTTGAAGGCGGTAGTTTTGCTTCAAGGTTAGTTCGGTCAGTACGTACACGGTAGCATGACTTGACGCGTTTTGCGCGACCGTTTCTGAGCGTTTAAAAACAGATGACAAACGTTTAGAGCGCGAAATGCTTAAGCATGGCCAAGGTCAGACTGATTTGAGGAGAGGCCCATGTTGCAGCGCGGAACGAACGAGGTTAGAACGCTTGAAATGCTGCCACGCTCGGTCTGGCACGACGAGGACGAGGACGAGTGCGAGGGCGAGGGCGATATAGGTTATTTGACAGTGCGTGAGGTTCGATGGTCGCGACTGTTTAGCAGTCGCTGGCCAACCAGGTCATTGTCACTGCCGAACGGCCGAGGCGCGCACAGGGCCCAATATCGCACTGTCACTGTTCTTATCGCTCATTTCGCTCTCTAGTACTGTAGCCGGCCCTCAACTCAACCGTAACCTCAACTTTTCATCGTTCTTTTCTCGCTTTGCCATGGCACTTAAATCTTTCAAGACGAAGGTACGTGGAGTTTGGGACCGATGCTGTTGTTTCAGTCCGTGAGAGAATTATTCCGCTTCCTCCTAGTCGGTTGCATTTGTTAAGTGTAAGTTTGGATGACCTTCAAGGTTTTCTTGTTAAATTGGAGGCCAAGCACTCCCAATTTTGAAGATTCCACGCAGTAGGAGGCGATTTTGAAGGTCTAGTTTTTACTGACCTTAAATCTGATTCATCCCATTATCTTAGCACACTCTCTTTTAGCCGAGTTGAAATGCGACCTTTCCAGATGGCACTCATTTCCGTCTGTCATCGTATCTCATAGGGGTCAAGGATTTCACAGGCCATCCCTGACCTTACCTGCAGTAGTTATTTTTCGAGATTACCTCTCATCAGTGTTCTATACAGTTGTAGATGCAAACAGCGAAAGGAGTCCAGGTCTGTTTACCAGCTGGAGGCTTTTCATCTGGAATTCTTAGCAGCCTCTCGCCAGTAGCAGGACCAGTCCGAGAACACCAAAGCGGTGCCGTGGAACCAATGGCGAACTGCGCAGGGCACTGGCGCCAATTTCGCTAATTTATTCGTGTTTTCATAGCGCTTTAAGTCTTGTCACTCGTTGGCAGGGCCTACGGGGGCATGGGAAATTTTGTGCAGATGGGTTCCTCAATCCGTCCGTTTTTTATCGAAGTTTTCAATTCTGGCTTTTGACAAATCTATGCCGAACAGCAAGGCAACGGTGATATTGGCTATCTTTTCTCTTTAAAGTTGCTGATCGTTCCCGACACGATATGACACTGCCATTGGGCTTTTTGTGTGACTTTTGCTTTGAGGATCGAACTTGTCAAGCTTGAACCCAGTCATTCCGAGGTGACCTCACCGTTGCCCGTTTGCGACCGCCTTATTTGTCGCGGCTAACTTCCATAAGTAGGGAGTCATTCCCCTATCCGCAATCTGAAGCATGCCAGATGACCAGCAGCTAGGCACAATCGATATATTATTATGTTTTATGGAACAGTCCATCAGGTGTTCACACTGGAATTTTGGTCCATCATTAGCTCGAGTTCTATCCAAGAATCTAAAAGTCAGTGAGGTATCGCCGCAGAATGCAGCAGGTTTCGAGGAGGGCATCCCGCGGCTGCTGCCCAGTTGTAATTCGATCGATTCCTATGCCCTCCAGATGCCTTTTCAGCCTTCTCGGTGCTATTCACTACTAGAATCACTGTTGGCTTCGTCTTCTGCGTTCGCAGTATTTCAAACAGTAGAACCTTGCCATCTGGTGCTTTTTCGATTTTCGGTATTACCACGTCAGTGGTTTCACTTGCCTTTCCTCAACCACCGTAATATTAGGCATACTGTGCTCCAGCTTCTTATCCTTTGGAATCATGAAATCCCTTGGCAATTTGGCTTTTCCATTTTCCACCGCTTTCCTCGGCTTATGTTGCCACCAGTACTTCGCAGACTTCAGCCCATACTTCTTGCCAGAGTTCCAATTCAGCATTGGAAGCCTCCTTCTCATACCGCTGTTTAACATCCGTTTAAGCAATCTTGCTGCATCCAGAAATCAAACGCTGCACTGTTTTATCCCCGTTTCTTTGCATAGCCTGCATTTGCCATCGTCTGCCGTCTTTTCGATGGTGGTTTTCATCGCAGTTGTTCGTTGAGCTCATTTTTGTGCGAAGAAAATGAGTTCTTCCGTTTTCCTCTTCACTCTTCTATTCCTTCCTGCAGCCATCTCCAATAATTGACAGGGTCGAATTTTCCTGCAATCTTCTTCGTATGCTGGTCATACAACGCTTTATTTTGGTGTTCAGTGAAGCGCTTTTCCGGTGTTTTTCCCGATATTAACTTTTGTTTCATCAGCCTTGATAATACCTCCTCTGCAGACTTCATTCAACGTCTTCTTCTTGCTGGTTCTAACGTTCTCGTTCAATGACTTTTTTTTCTTCCACCGTTTGTTTCTCTTGCAATAATCCTCGCCTTCCGTTTCTCCGCGGGAGGTAAGGTCGATCGATGCCTCTCCTTGAATGCACAGCGTGATTTGCTGCCATAATCTTCCTTCTTTTGCTGTCCAGTGCATCCAGCTCCATTTGTGCCCAATCAGCGATTCCAGCGCTGTTCCTAATGACTTAAATGTCCCATGTATTAATAGCTCTGATCGTTTTCCCACCATTTAATTTCAATGCCAGAAATCTTCGAATTCATTTAATATATTCTGCCTTATGACGGCTGCATGACGACTCATCAGCTCTCAAGATATCCAGATACTTATAGTCTTCTTCTTTATCGAGGTTCTTGAACAGTGTTCCCTCTTTGAAGATTCCGCGATTCTTTCTCTTTTGACTGTTAGTGTTGCGCAACTTTCAATTACAAAGTTCGTCGTGATGTCCTGGCTGACTATCCTGACCATGTGTATCAGCGACTCTATTTCTTCTTCGGATTTTCTATATGACTTCAAATCGTCCTTGCACAGCAAATGGTACATTTTTCCTGATCTTTTCACGACTTCTTAGCCGCAGGTTGCTTCGTTCAGCACCATCGGCAGCGGCATCATGAAAAGCTCAAACATTAACAGCAACAGGGAATCTCCTTAGAATATGCATGCCTTACCTTTACCTTCCCCAGTTCCATTCCTTTCGAGGTCAGTTTTGCAATATTCCATTTCTTCATTGCTGCCGCCTGAAATTTTCTAATATTTTAGCTGAGTCCAAAAGCTTTCAGAGATTTCTTGATACATGTTTGTGGCAAAAAGTCGCACGATTTCCTATACTCAGTTAAGGCGATGTCAAGTTTGCTTACCTCTTCGTACCTTTATTCAGAGTCACTTCATCAACGAGTAACTGATCCTTTGTTCCTCGGGAGTCACGGCAATTTTCTTTTTGTTTCTTGGGCAAAATATCTTTCTTCTGCGATTATATGCTATCAGATTGTACCAGCAACTATTCCAGTCAATAGTTTGAACATCGTCGGTGAGCACGTAACTGGTCGATAATTGTAGGAATGGCACCCTTGGCTTTATCCTTCATCAGTACTGTTCTTGCAGTTGTCATTCACTGATCAACTATGGCTGTTTCTAGCATGTTGATGAACTGCTGTACTAAACTGAGATGCAACGTGGTTAGATACTTTACCAAAAATCCACGAACTGTATGCTTTCTTGGTGCTGTACAATTTTTCGGTCTATCTGCTTGCTCACCAGGGTTTCGGTCGTAATTGTTAGATTCGGCGCATTTGTGACCTTCAGCATTTTTTGGGTTAATTAATTTATTCCGCTTATTGATTATGCTTGCTTTGGTTGTCCATAACCCTTTCCATGATACCAATGTTTCTTCTTCATCTGCAGTCAGTCCTCGATCACTCTCCTCATTGACAAAACGTTTGTAGACCTATCGCTGGTTATGTCGAAATTGCATGTGCTGGTTTATTCGTGCATCATATTACGTTATTTTGGTTATTCGTTGTTTCGGTGTATTGAGCACCTCCAAAACCGTTCCCTCCTTCAACTGATATCTTTCTTCCAAAGTCTTCTGTATGTCTTCCCATTCTTCAGTCTCGCCTTACAAACATTTAAACAGCCTGCATCCTTTCGACACTTGCTGAGTTTCAGTTCAAGTCGTATCTTCCGTTTCGCCTTCTTTGCCTTTATAGTTTCCTTCTTCATATCAATGTCATATCCAAGTTAATTTGTTATGACCAGAGCGGTGTTGTGCAATAACCTATCTGTTTCTTCAGAGGTAGTCGCTGGTATTGTCTGTATGGCACAGTTGACGTCGTCAATTATTTTATTGATCTTTCTTCTTGGTAAGCGTTTATATGGTTTCGTGCTTTTTATTGTTTCAGAAATTTTGTTTCTCAGATCTTCCCTTCTTGGCCTGGGCGTACACCGATTCGGAATGGATATCCTTAGAGCGAAATTCGGCATTGTTAGTGGGTTTGGGCACCTTTCATCTAACTCCTCCGTTAAGGTCTCTAAGGCATGGTTGACCCTGCCGGTTGCTTTGATTATGTCAGCATATCCCCTAACTTCATAGAAATACGTAATCCCCACCGCTTCGAAAAGGTAATAACTCGTGAGTGGAAAAAGAATAATTACTTTTCTAAATCTTAAATTCCTTTTCTAATAATTACTTAATTACTTTAGAGACTTTTCATTCTAGCGTTTTACTTCGGTCCTCTCCTGTTTGGAAGACCCTACTAAGTACAAAACAAAAGCTTCCGCTGGCATAGTTTATTGGATCATTAGACACGCAAGTCCTATCGCCGCCGCACGGCAACAAATCACGATAGGGGTTATCATTATAGGATATATACATACTAGGAGTAAGTGGGCGCTGAAATCTGGTCTTGGAGGAGCTATGCATTATTTGATTTACTCCCAGCTTACGAAAACATTTTCCACTTTATACGGAAGTATATATGCAGTGCCAGCTCATGAAACATTTATGCTAATGAACGAAAAGTGGCACTAGCGAACGAAATGATGTAAGATACGTTTGACACTGCAGACGTTCAAATACCTGGAGCCGGAGTCTCCTTAAGTGGCCCCCTTGGGAGCTAGGAGCAACTGGGGGTGAATACACGTTGAAATCTTGTCTTGGAAGAGTTATGCACTATGGGATCAAGTAAAAATGTTCCGGTTTGTTGCCTGGCTCACAGATTTAATTACTCGACGCGTTAGTCATTAAATTGACCGTCTTGTGTTAACTCTGGCCTTTTCTCTATGTTATTCTCGTTAATGAGTCGATGGATAGTAAAGTAGACCTCATATTTTTCTCTGCTGGGAATATTATCGCAATAAAATAAAGCGTTCTCAGCCAGGGTCCAATTTCTATGAGATGATTCGTCGACGCCGGCAATTTCTTGCCTCTTTGGCACATTTATGTACCCTTGCACCTCGCATGATCAGATGTGTTGCTGCTGGTGAAAAGTGAACATGGAGTATTTCAGCCGAACAAAGTATGAACCGCATCTTCTCCTTTGCTACTACGAAAACGTTCAGATCTCGTAGTCTTGGAGGAAGCCGGAGATGAGGAGAGGACAATCATTCAGCGGTCACGTGTCTGTGTTCAGTCGCCAGTACTATCCCATCACTGCAAAAGAGTGTCATGGTGTCCCAACGGCATATAGGTATAGCTGGCAAACGAATGATATCGCAAGAACCAAACAACGATTGCCATCAATTAGTTCTTTTCACGAAATATTTCCAGTGACGATAATTTCACCCAATTGTTCGTCATTAACCTGGGTTTTCCGAGGTTCCTTAGTGAAAATAATGCTAAAAAAGTAAATCCATGTGTCTGGGATTATGATAACATATGTCTGAACAAGTTATCCGTTTTACAATAAGATTGAATCACTAAATTCCGCATATATCAATAGTGTTCCAGAAATTCAAAAGGCACGGACAACTGTTATAAGCATGTAAATGAGTTGTGGAAGAACCAGAGGCGTAAAAAGCAGGTCTGTGTTTAGCAGCGTTTTTTTCAAACGTACAGTAATTGTGTTCGCACAGAAAGACGACTTCCAAACAATTTTTTTAGCCTTTGTAAAACCTATCATCGTACCTCACTCAGCTACAAGTAGATCATAGGGAATTCGAGTTAATGTTAGTTCCAAAAGCGAAGGCAAAAACCTGGGTGCCATATTTTATCTGAGGAAATCTGACTCGCTGACCGTTAAAGAAATCATTCTTACGACAATGGCCACTGTGGCTGCCTTTGAATGAGACCAAATGGCTGGTTCCTTCGTAGGTGTCCTCTATCTCACGGGAAAAACATCATGATTGTGACATCAAGACTACCATGCGGGCAAAGTGGGACAGTTTTGGTACCGTATAAGGAATAATAGCGATCGTTCAGCGGAAACAGTCCTGACGGGAACGGAAATTTATACCAAGAAACAAGGAGTAGAGAACGACGGCACTTGACTGGATGAAC